CCGGGACGCGCTGGGCTTGGGCGACAACACGCGAGGGGACAGGAGGCTCGCGGCCTGGAAGAGCCGCACAGCGCCGGTCGGCCGCTGGCGGCGCAGGGACCCACCAGGCAGCTGTGGGCACCCGTGGGTGCCTGGGCGCAGGCGAGCCGCCCCATCCACAGAGACTGCTATTCAGGGGACCCCGGGCTGGGGACCCAGGAAATCAGGGCACCTCCCCAGACCATGCCCGTCTGCTGCTTCCCGGCAGCGAGCCGCCGAGGACAAAGCAGGGAAAGCGGGTCCCCCGGTGCGGCCCCTCTGGGCTGGGGCAGAGGCCGCCCGCACGGCCACCCACCCACAGGGACCATTCCGAACCCCGGTGTCATTTCTTTAATATATAATTTTATTTCTGGTTATAGAAACAAATGCTAAGAGGAGAAACAAAACTTCCCCATCCACATACAACAATTTAATAGATAAAAGAACAGTTAAAATAAATGAAAAAAAAAAGTAGAAATCTTAAACTTTGTTACAGCTTTAAAACATTAATGTCCAATACGGTTAGAAATCACATTCATATCTCAAACTTTTAAAAAAAAGTATGGCTCCTTATTAAAAAAATACTGTATCCCATTAGAAATGGAAACGCAGGCCGGCCGGCTGCTGTGGGTCCCTCCGTCTTCCCAGCGGTGGCCAGGTGCCGGCCTCCCGCCTCAGTGCTGGGGTGTCTGCAGCCTTCCCAGGTCTCCGGGCCAGACTACTTACAGGTGGCGAAACATCGCGATACGACCTCCATTCACACCCAGGGCTTAGGCTTAGAACCTAAATTTCCACTTTATAGGATACCACTGCTTTTTAAAGCACTGATCATTAAACATATTGTAAAAAACACTTTAGACAGCCACGGTAAAAAAAATTACACACGCACGCACACACACACACACACACAGCCCTAACAGCGCCCGCCCCCCAAACCATGTTTACAGGAGAATTATCCGTCAGATAAAATAAAAAAAAATCTCAGTATTGGGTTCAACCCTCCCTCACATGCACCGAGCTGCCAGGTCTGAGCTCGGTTGATCTGAGAATCTGGGGAGACACTTTGTCCACTCCCTCCCACCCCAACCCCCGGCCCTGAGCCCAGTAAATTAAGGTGTACCAGGAAGGAGGGCGGGCCAAGCTTAAAATGTGTGACTTTAAATCCCACTTTTACTGATTAAAAAAAAATCTGGACCAGTTAACCGGAAATGTAGAGGCTAAGAGCTTACAAAGCCACAGGCTCAGCTTAACAAACACTCTTGAGGCCATGCAGGGGAATCCGCTGGAGTCACAGGCCTCACTCCAGCTCTGCCCTGGGCAGGGGATGGTCACGCTCCCCGGGACTCCCTGGGACAGCTCAGAGGAGCAGGTGAAAAAACCCACTGTACACGCACACTCTAACCTCCCGAACCCACCGGCTTATTAACCAGGACCGGCGGATCTCACAGCCAGGTCCCGCCCACCCGGCCTCCCCACGCTTCACTTTTTGTGATTTCTGACACAGCAAACAATATCTGGGTGAATCAAATTAGCAAACTACTCCAAAAAAGGTCCCGAGTAAAGAGTGATGAGCCAGAAACCTCCCAGTTCTATTTTGACTCTGAACTGGGTTGGGGCAGAGGTGACTAACTTTTGGGCCCTTGGAGGCCTGGAGGATGGGACCTGCAGCTGCTGCCAGCTCACTGGGCCACCGGGTCCTGTGTGGCCAGCATCGCCTGGGCAACCAAGCGAAGGGACGTGTCTGCAGCCTCCCACTGACCCCAGAATGTTTCTTCTCATTTTCACAGTTGCTACCAGAGTGACAAGCAGGTGGCAAAGAGCGACTGGTATCTTTAGCGGGTTTCCTTGGGGAGAGATGCCTAGAAATAAAATGACTGCTCACTTAACGTCTTCTAAAATAATAACCATTAGGGTGATCCCAGGGCTCATGAATTTGAAGATTTTCACTTCGGTCCTGGGTAAAAATGCAGACCACCACTCGTCCCTGGTGGCGAGCAGATCATCAGCGAGCCCAGGTCCTTTCCGACCAATGTTCAACTGCGGGGGGGCCCCTGTCACTAACCAGCTGGGCTGGGCACCCAAGGGCCAGGCCTGCAGCTCAGGGTGGGGGCAGGGCAGTTCTCCAGATGGGCTCAACCACTTACATGTGGCGGTGGCACAGTGAGGCTTGTCCCCTTAGAAAAGCGAATCCTCCTGACCTCTCATTCTGTTTAATCACCTTGTGCCCCCAGAACCTTCTCACCACCTCTGGGGGAGCCAGGACAACCCCACATCAGGCAGCACCCCGGTAATGCCTGGGGCCCTCATTCAGCAGGCTGAGCTGCGGCTGAGCCGGGGAAAGGGGGTGAGATTAGGCCAGAATGGACCCTCAAGAGGGATGCGCCCGAACAGGCCCGTGAAGCTTCAGGGTGCGGACAGCTCAGCAGGTGACCTTCGTTTTTAACTTAAGAGTCAAACCACTTTCCCTAAACAGCCAGCCAGCCAGGCCTCTTCCTGTTTCAGTTCTGAGGTGCTCGGTTGTATCCCCAGGCCCTGCTCTTTCAAGCAGCTGTAATCCGGTTGGGCAATGAAGACAGAGGGAGCAGCTGTCCTGG